GCTCCTTTTCTACGCACTCCTTCGGCGGTTTGGAATTAGCCTTACATGTAGTTACTCCGATCAAACTGGGAAACGCATTGGTCAAATGTGAGCCACTAGTGGTATTGGGTCAGATGTTGATGTTCTGGACTCTACGTGTCGTGTTGCTTACGGTGTTATTAACAGTTCTTTGCGGGATAGGAGCAGCAACCAAGGGGAGGATTGGATTGCACAGTCCGCTATGCCTACTCCAACCGTAGTGATTTTGCTGATCACCATTTCCTCAAACTTGGCTAGTAGCTGGCCATACTTCTGAGATAATAGGAGCACGCTTTTATCAATGGGATCGATGTGCAATCCACACAGAACCATAGCGAGTCTGGTTTGTTTAATAACTTGGCCTGACTAGGTTTAACTCGGAAGCATCTCGCATGGAAAAACTTGCAACAGTTACGGCACAAAATGCCCCCTTAACTAGTTTGGAACATAATCCACATAGGTCTTTAGTCGGTGGTGCACTGGGCATCACGCTTGTTGAGCAAATGTTACGACCCATTTGAATGACTGCCCCTCTATGATAAAAGGTCGTTCTGCTATTGACGTCGGTAAGGTCACAGTGTTCACGTTGCAGTTCTGTGGTTGTAGACTGTCCTCTCTGGCGTGCCAGTCGAATGTTTCAGGTTGAAAGTGGGGCAGATCACACGAAGGTATGATTGAGAATTTTCGTGCTTAAACCTATGGGTAGTGTTCAGTGAATTTGTTTTGAGACCTGTGGTTGCTCCAAGCAATGTTGGATTTGAACTAGCGACAGTTCGTTCTAAAACTGTTTAAATGACCTGTCGAGTGCGACCAATGTGTCCGATGTTTGGAGTTAGGCAACTTTTGGCGCTTGGATATCGGCGAAACACTGCCCAGAATTTAGGATTCAGAGTAAATGTAGAATGCACTGGAGTGTACTCGAAAAAACAGTATCAAAAGGTGGAGCTTTTAAAAGCACGACGAATGAGTATAGATCCAAAGGTGTGCGAGAAAATGCCGCTGAGCCACAGTGGAAGAACCAAGAGTGCACAAGTGAGCGATTTGTACGCACGTTCGCTCAAGGTCACGCTCTGTGAGGATGAGGTCACGGATCACTTTGGTTTAATCGCTGGTTGCCCGTTTACAACATTATTAGTTTCACTTACATTACGCACAAGCTCCACATAGAGCTTTTCCCCTCTTCTATTAAACGAACCAGACAAGAAACGAGAAGACGAAGCAAAAGCATTGCTTTACCTTTTGCAGTCAATTGAGCATTCCACGGTAACTAAGACAAAACGGTAATAAGCCAACAAAGCGACCCAACCATACAAGCGATTTCTCGCTACCTCACCGAAGCCTCACCTCTGTACTTGAAGCTCGGTAGTGAACTGCTTGCTTTTAAGGTTTACGATATGAACTCGCGATCATTGATGGTTGACTAATATGAGGCTCGCAAATCGTGATTCTGCAGAAGCCAGCATCAAAAAACCATCCTATATGCACACACGAGACATTCCGATATCGCGCGAACGAAGCGCCGGCTGCAAGAGCAATTTTAGTGGCCGAATATGTCAAAAACGGTGGACGCAAATGTAAGGTCTTGTGCCATGTGTCAGGAAGCTGACAGAAGCTCAAAGCCGATTGATACACCCGTTCAGCCAATCGTTTATCCAATTAAATCCTAGTCGAAAGTATCCATCGACACCTGTCTGCACCATTGTATCAGAGGAACTGTTTGGTGTACACGAGCTGTCAAATAAAATGGCCTGAAATTTATTTCGGTGGTGATGTGAACAATTCAACATGTGTACGGTGGTTGAGGTACCTGTTTTCTAGATTTGGGCTCCCTGAAGAACTTGCCACGGATAACGGGCCACAATGAGCAAGCTAAACGATTAGTAATCCTTACAGCTCAACGATGTGGAAGACCAACGGACGGTTCCGTATAAAGCAGCTACTGACGGATGATTGAGCGCACAAGCTGCGCGCACAAGCTGCGCGCTTAAGGAAAATAAATGAGCGGTATTGTAACCCTGCTTTGCCCTCTGCTCTCTGCCACGCCAACCCAGCCGGTGCAAATCAGCAAACCGAGTCTGCTAGACCGAAGTACCTTAGGCGCAGAACATGGTTTATTTTATATGTCACATGCGCTCACCTTGCCGCTGTCACTAATGTGAATCACAACTCCTGTCTGGGCAGATTCGACCTTAGTAATGGCCTTGACTATCTGGCTATAGGTACTATCACGTCTGCCTCATGGCAACCATGCGATGATGGCGAGTTGATTTAATCAGCTTCCGGCTTGACTTGGCCTTTTTACTGTCGGTAGAGTAGCAACCTTTATCATCCAGACAAACGTCTCGAAATCGTGTCACGTCCTTAGGCTGTGGCCTGCTGAAGTGCACCGTCGTAGTCAGCCATCTCGCCTCCGTGACAAGCGGCACGTTTGTCTGGTATGTAATGGGAAGATGCAGTTATTTAGGTTCTGTTTACACACAGAACCATCACATCACACTGCGACCTACCGCACATCAGTGGAGCCACTGTTTAGCAGGACGCTGCTTATAATTTTGAACGCAGCTCTATCAGTCTCCTATAACCACGATCCTTATCAGTAGAGCATCACCGACGTTTTCGGTGAACAAATGGAAAGCTGGCTTTACCGCTGCTACCTGGAACGTTCGATGGACTGAGCAGAGATACGGCATATGAAGAGCAACCGACATTATCGTGCGTCGTCTTTATTACCCGGACATTCGAACCAGGAACCTAACTACTCCCGGGCAACCGCAAACTTAGTGCCAGACAACGGCCCTACAACCGAACGCCTGCAAGTATCAAAAAGTGTGGTCACAAGCAGGGTGACCGGCACTTCAACTTGCGGTTCAGATTGGTGGGCTCAGTTAAGAGAGGGGATGATGCTGTGAATGCTGAGCGATAGTTCTACTTTCGCATGCGCGCATGCACGCCTGGCTCGCAACCGATTGGATGGACGTACGTTGATTGATCGCGAACCTTAATTACGTCAGTGAAGAGGCGATTCATTACTCAGAATATACGGATGCAAGATCGTGCGTTTGTTCTTATCACTTAGTGTGTCCAGGGTACTGCTGCTGAGGACGGGTTTGCGATTATTGCGATTACTGGAACAGGCAACAGAAAGTTGGATGGATCCTGATCGATTTAAGCCATGAGTGAGAAACGTGTCTCAGAAATTGAGAGAACAGAATATCACAGCATAAGACTTGGATAGGAACTGTCATGGATAGTAAGAAGAGGAGTGTCTACCAGACAGTAAATGGTACGGGGAAGCAGAGACTAAAAGACAAGCTACATTCAGTAGTACCAAACGCTGCATGCGAAGTGTCTCTGCTTATTTTTACTATTATCGGACTATTAAGCAAATGTACCAAGAGCACCATTGATGTTTGACGGGTCCAATCCAAGTACATAAATTAGAGAAGTGTTTTTCTTTGGATTTGACTTTGATTGCGCATTTTGCAGCGTTAACTGCAACTGGCTGCATTTGTGGTACCCGGAAATTCTATGTATAAATGGCTGTCGGTCTATACTATATCACAATTCCATAACCCGTTTGGAGTTGGTTCCTTGCAAACAAGCTACGCCTGTGGGTTTCCCGCATTACAGTTAACATAAACGACAGGGAAGAAATATTCCTTTTTGTATCCTCACAAAGCGTTTATTTCCAGCGTATTCACACCCAAACTTCAACGGGTAAATGCAGTTGGAAGTAGTTGGTTCTCTCGGTAGTACCGAGGTTGTGGCACCCATTCAGGATTGTGATTACATCAAGTCAAATGTTACCTTGACGACTCAGCTACCACGGTCTATAAATTCAGAGGCATTGGGTCTATGTAACTTAAAGACACACTGTCTAGACAAAATGTAAGTGGTTATCTACTACGAGATAGTGTTCTGAAGATGAATTCACTCATATTGCTGATGACAGCTCCAAGCGTTGGCCTTTTCTGTTTTAACAAATCGATTCGCTCTAATCACGTGTAACCCGATGAACGCGTGACCCAGTGGCCGCTACTTATCCGAACTGACTATTCAAGTGCATACTACTCGAACTTGTTGAAACCCGAGATCATATACGTTTGCTTCACAAAATTATTTTAATCCAACAATTCATGCACAGACGATGCGATCAATCTGAAAATGTTGCTAGGTGTGGTATATTGCACTAACTTCTACTGCTATCATACGCGCACCGAAGCTCGTCAAATGAGATGATGTGATGTATGCAATTGAGAGTTTTACACTGTCGCTGGATGATCGCAAAAGAAACACAATCCACAACCTGTACTTCCAATAACAAGACGTTCCCGACTGCTGAAACCTATCGACAACAATATCAATCTAAAAATGATGGACAGGAAACAACTACTTGATATTCTCATGTACTATATTTGCTGAACCACGATGTTTTGTGCCTGGTTCACAGGCTTGATAGAACCCAATGATTTCAATACATGCAAGCGCATTCTTGTGCCATATGTGTTCAAAATCGGTAAGCATGAATGGGCTAATATGATAGAACAGCCAGTGACTCATAAGGTTTAGCTAGGTAGACCTAATCATCCATTACAATGCGTGAGCACAATTCATTTAAAACAGACACTTTTGATCAGGTACCAAATTTGGTGTGCTCACTAGGGATAATTACACATGACTTTGATATACTATTTTGCCGCAGTGGTTTGGAAAATTGCACCAAATGATTGCAATGTTTTATCCAACTTGGTAATACTCACAAACACATTTACTCATTGCTCACTATACTACCAAAGTTTATGGCATGCAGATAGTCAACAGCAATTGTTGCTTTGAACAACACTGTTAGCCAGCGAATCTTGTGGTTGAATGGCATTCCAATTTTGTTTGTTGCCACGGTGTCGTCACGCTTCTCATACAGTGAATTTATTGTCAATTCTGACGGTTGATTTTTACACATCGCCTTAATTTGATGGTTTCAGTGTAAAGCTAAACTGGCCGCTCTATTGGAAGAATCGAGAAGAAAAGACCCTTCGTTACCTTCATTAAATAAGTAAGTACACTATGATGCTGGCTGTGTTTATCAAGGCTATAGCAAACGTCCATTACTACCCAGATGGCTCCATGCTCTATGCATGTATTGTTTAGCTAACAAGTCCTCATTATTAAATGCCCCGAACTGTGCAAACCACTCAGTTGGACTGTGCTTCACACTATCGAGAAACTCAGGCTACGCAAAAATGTAAACATTAGCACCCACTCAGCAGTATACCTCTGAGGACTTCATACAGTTTCCATGATGGGTTTGAGGGACTGCTTGATAATTCAGATCTTTATGTTTAATCACTGATAGTTGGTATTCAGTTTAAATCCGCCACCACTATAAGGTATGGTAAGTTCTCCAACGCAAGAGATCAGCTCATTGGGGTTATACACTTATTCACAAATTGCGATACAACGTGGAACTAGTAAAGGCGAGTTCAATAGACTTATCTGGCACGTTGTTAAGTCGTGTCATTCTACTTGCCGATCGATTCACGCCATATCTGACCAGTTCATGTTAGCCCAAACAATTTTCAACAAATCAATCGATCCGCAGAAAACATTCCTGTCTCCATTATTGGATAAGCTAACGTTTAAGCTTATTTTCATTTGATACAAGTACAGCGAAGCAACATCACAGACTCTTTCGCGATTTAAATAAATCAGCGAAGTAACGAAAGCCGGGATGTGAACGCATTTTATGTAACCGCCCCAGTACAAAAATGACAAGAAATATATACTTCGTTACGTAATTCGGCGCGGTGTACATTTGGCTTATGCATACAAATAGAGTCAACATTGTCCGGCGAATCACAAAGGCCACGGCTACGTGCGGGAATCAACTGTCCGTTTGTTTCAGTGCGGTGCCAGTCGCCGAGTTTAGATCGAATTGGTGCCAAAAAGCAAGTATCTGTTTGTTCATGGTAAATGAATGAAGGAATCTATAGTGATCTGTCGAAACGATCGTGATAGATATTCCTACACCTACACTTCATCACTCTAGGTACGTTGCGTTGTAACCCTATGGAAAAAAGCAGCATCCGTTTGGACTAACGTGTCAAGATTGTTATTGTTATTTCGGGGTGCAAAACGTTTAGCCACTCAGTTACAGATGGCTTCTTGAATGATATACTTGGTCGAACGAACAGTAGACAACCTACGTTTCGTTTTATTTAAGACCCACAGTTAATCTTGAAAGAAAGCTGCGTGGACTCGGAGTGTCTCTCTCCCACTACGGTACTCCACAACCGCATGTTTCGTCCTGCTTTAGACGCATCAGGTAGAGATAGCCTGAGCTGGGAATGGAACTCGACACATAGTGCTTGGCCCCTGTAGCCGTGATAATTAGGTCATTAAGCTCCGCGAGCAGTGCTTTACACAGCGGTTATAAAGTGGATTCTCGAGTGTGGTTTTCGATATGGGTCTATCTCATCATTACACTCCATGACTGACGGTTTTTTCTTGGTTTAAACTCATGAGGTAGGCATAGCCTGCTTTGGAATTGGAACATGACGCCATGGCGGCTGTCGCCATGATCACTCGGTCATGGCGCTCCGCAAGCACCGCTTGATACAGCTGTTATAAATTGACAATCTGGTTTCGAAGTACCCGCCGTGTGTCTTGGATTGCGACATGTAATCTCTATCGTGGCATAGATTGACTATGAAGTCAGCTGCTGCCAATATGGTCACTCGGACCGTCACCGAAGTGGAGGGTTTCGGTGCGGCTCTCCCAACCCTGCACTGCACTTCATACTTGGGATTGCGTGTCACAATCAAAGACACACGGAAGGTGGTCTAAAACCCAACATTCAACTTAAAGGAATCTCTTTGAATAAGTTCTTCTTTCTCATTTTGCGAGCACAAGCCTCCTGCAAACAATATATACACATGTAAGCATACATAAACTAATCGTTAATTCAATATGGATTCAGTGCTCCGCTTTTTAAATGCCATTATGCTTGTTCTACCATATCAGTTGAAGTCATGTTACTTGGTGTACCTACTAATATTTATTTTTTATATGTATTTATTTTTATTTATGCTTATTTAGTTATTTAGTTACTTTATTTATTTATGCTTATTTTCCTCTTGGCAGACTGAGCTGAAAGAGTTGTGCCGAGCTGGTATTCCCTCTGTCTACCGTAGCGGAATATGGCGTATGCTGGTCCGCGGTGAATTAAAAGCAACCATTTTGGAAAAAGGTCCTCATTATTACAACAGGCTAATTGCAGAGATCAGTGAAAGTAAGGTGAGCATCATTTGTCTTTGCGTCGGAGTACAACGTTTTATCACAAAACATTACATAGAAAAGTCAATTGTTAGATAGAACACGATTTTGCAGGTGATGCAGGTTGGACACACCACGGGAATATGCTAGATTGTATACAACACACTTTGTGGTGCAAGTTTCGAATTTCGAATGTGAGTGAGGAACTCCTAGTTCACGGAAAATTGTGCCTGCTTGTGCAGCTAAGAGCTTTTCATTTAACGAAGATGCCCACCACATGATAGGGGAGTGCCTAACACATGCATCAATCGAGGAAGTCTTACCATCATTTGCTAGCCATAAACGTTATGATCCGTAAATTGTTGGAATTTGGAAGCAACTTGGTGTTACTCACGAGCTTATTGTTGTAGTGAACATTGCTTACTTGCAATCAAAGAACATCGTAGCTTTGGGTTTATGGAAGAGGTTCTCGCACACAGCTTTAAGCAGTAAGTTATTACCTTTCTCGGCGCATCATTATTATTCATCGTAATTCATTCACGAAATGTGTGTTTCAAAATAACCTTACAATCAGTTGTTAAATGTTAGTCCCGAGTTCGAGGCCTGTTATTTCCAGCAGACGAGAGCAAATAAAGTCAAAACGCGTCATGGTGTGCAGTGTTTTTGGGCGGGCAACACCTATTTCCCATAGGCTTCAGCTCCGCTCCCAGTGATTTCAGTGACCAAGGTTCACTGCAATTGGAATTGTAATCCGTTCGCATAAAGAGTGCGTCACAATAACACACAAATCAGTTGCATCTTACCTACAGAAGGCCAGTGTTTGCCAACGTAGATGTTGGACAAAACGAACTGAATGCGAACTATCAGCAGTTTCTAAGAAGTGAAATAAGCTTTGCACGGGAACAGAGTCAAAAGATACGCTTGCTTACGTTGTCTACCCGGAAATAAATGCTAATTGCTCGAACTTATTGTGTGCACAATTTTCATCGTGCACTTCTTTGGTCCCACCATATTGGTCGTTTCCAATAACAAGTTTTCTATCCGGCATTTGTGCAGCGAATAGCGGAAGCAGTCAACGGGGATATCATTGCGACATCTACAGTTCCACTAATTAATCTCGGCAGCAAAGTTTAAAAAGTTAAGGCTGTGCATCGAACTGGAGTCCAACGCCAACCATTTTAGTGCTTCGTTTTCCCTGCTTTTCAATGCAACCATAACAATTGCTTTGAAGGCGATGAGTAATTTAGGTGAGCATCGCAGACCAACAAACAGCGGAAGCTGCAAGTCTGATAGCCTGACTAGGTTTCTAGTCGAGATCTGTTATACGTTAATATGTACGGGCTTAGTGCATTTTTGATTTTCTATGGATAACAAGTGAATTGAAACTAACGCTGTAAACCAGATCAAATTGACCTACCTATGAGCTTATCAGGTGACTTGCTCCGGTTAGTTACCGCTTGTTGCCAAAGTTGATACAATCACTGCATTGCGAATGCATCTTTTTAGGTGGCCACAAAATATCGCAAACAGATTTCGCTCGATTTGCTTCGCACAATGCCAAATAACGTGCACTTCGACAGTCTGGAGTCCCCAGGAGTGAGTCGAAAATATTGCAACTTTACCGCGTGCCTCAAGTTTTTCTGAATATTAGGTTTTCAATGCTAAACTAGCATTTTCACTCACTTCTCATCAACAGATACAGAAATTGCAAGAGGTTCTTCAGGCATACAGCATACATAATCCAGAGATTGGATACTGTCAGGGGATGAACTTTTTGGTCGCAGTAGCGTTGCTGGTGCTTCACAAGGAAGATGCATTTTGGTGAGTTACGACTCCGGTTGTGGGATTCCAAGTATATCGCCTAACACCGGCACAAAGGATTTCTTGCTCAACTACACGATTATCCGCTCTGTTAAAAGATCGCACTGTGAGACTTACTCTTTTTACAACAGAGGCGGATATACACAGACAATTTATAGCACTTTCATGTAAGCTTTCCGCTTCACAAATTTAATAATAGAAAATAGAAACTTTCTAGCAAGTTATACTGAATTTAGGTATTTCGAGCATCCTCCTCTGTTGTTTACATACATTCCTTGAAATTAGCACGTTGCGTACCAAAGGGAAGCCACGTACAAGGTCATGCAGAAAAAAGAAAAACGATCAACAACCTCACCAAAATAAAGGGAGGAGAGTCGTTATTTCAGTCTGTTTACACAAATTGGGCTACAACCGCCGAATAGCTAACGCTTCGACAAACGGCGGCAAACGGTTACCGAACGAACCATGAAGATTTCGGTACGCATTGCAGTTCAGCGTTATCTGCGCAGTAGAGCTAGCCGGCAATTTAGGACCGTCACCTACCATGTTTCGTGGAAAGTGTGACATTATTCAAATACCTGAAATCAGTGTATCCTGTTAAAATGTTTTTTCTGCTTGCTATTTGAAATTTACAGAGGCTTGGCACCTTCGACTCTGGCTGATGACTTTGCTCGCTCTATCTTCATATCGTACAAATAGTTACTGCAAGGTACATGAACCAGATGCTGAGGAGTGAAGATTTTGAAACATAATACGATCGCGCGGATACCAGAGGTTGAAGCAGTTTGGAAAATTTGCTTGAAGTTGTCTCACAGTGCCCATTGCGACTGCTTGTGCCAATTCGAAGCTGCCAGCTAACTTGTATATCCCGGTAGGGGGCATAGTTTGATGCACTCTCCGTCGTAACACACATTTCAAAGGTGTTGTATTACGGGATGAATAGAAAAAGTTTATGCTTGATATTCTTCTCGTTGACCAGGTCTCAAATGCGCAATGCACCATCAACCTTCGTCGTGAATAAACCATTGTTCTTGACATTTATCCGCAGAGCTAGATGGTGTCATCCGCTTTCTTGATTCAAGTTTGAGACTTCGGAACTAATAACAGTTAACTCCGAAATCTCAACAAACTAGCGACCGACAGTGCTGACGGTAGTTTCACACCTCCACAGAACTGAATCATGGATCAGTGCTTACTGAGATGATGGTATCATATTCTCGTTATACGCAGTGTGAAAGTATTTGTGGCCGTTAGTGAGCTAATGAACCGTCATTATGTTGGCAATATCTGATGGCACCTCGGCTCAAGTCAGATAACAAACCATCATCTGGGCACCGAAGTGCAGACGAGTCAGTTATCAAGTCTCGTATCACCAGGATAAGTGAAACTGCTCGGGGAAGTGAGATTTAAGCATTGGAAAATGAAAAACTGAGTTGTATAAAAGTAAGCAAACTTCTTCGGAGGGAAATCAAACGCCTGGATGCAGTAGACTGCTTAAAAAGAACCGTTGCTTCCACGATTTCAACAAATTGGATGAAGTATTCATTCAGTAAAGTGGATAAATCTCAGGCTCCGACCGCGGAGGACCGCACACAACAGCTAGATCAAATCCCTGGGTCATTCTCGTTAGTCATCCCATCTATAAGGTTAAGTAGTCGGTAGGCGTTTCAGTTCATTTATGTACAACCAAAGGGAGCATGCACTCCGTAACTAGGATTGAGGTTTACTTCCAGACACGATCTGGTGAAGACGGACGATTCCTACCCGTATTCCCACGAGATTTCATCAGCACTCAAACCCAGTTAATAAACACAGTCCAAAACAACCATGATTCTTATACATGCAATAACATCGGTACTACCGTAGTATTATGAACCCTGTCCTCTGCTGATAAATCAATGAGGTTTAGTGTCGAGTTGAGCTAATATCCCACTAATTCCATGGATGACTTGAACGCCTCTGCGCCGCGTGAACAACGCTGATATATGTTGTGCCAGTCATGGGTGACAAAGTAGGGTTTTATGGTGTTCAGATGAGATTCACATCAGTTAGATCCGACCAGACAGTCACCACACATTCAGAAAAGATTTAGATGACTTTTTTCTTATTGGAACTGCTCAATAGCGCGCACTCCTCTGATCGTGCCGGATTCCAACCCCTGAGTTTGCTCTTCAGAGTCAGTGACTCATGTCACTGAACCCTGGATGACAGCGCAAACCGCCATGACTGATTTCCAGCTGTGATATATCGCCGATCATCTTTTATTATCATGCCCGTTATGAACGTCCAGAGACAGTGCTAAATATACACTACCCAGCAGTAGTTGACTTTGCATCTTACGTAACACCTCGATTGAGGAGGGCTTGCATATGTAGTCGCGGCTCTAAGGGCCAACTGCTCTCTGCGCTTTCAGAACTGCATTGAAGTGGAGGATGAGCCGAGCTATAGCTTAGTTACGCTGCAGTAATGGCGGTACGCGCGGTCACCCATAGTGCAAGTCGCTGACTTCTAAGGGTATGGTCATTCATTCTAAAATGACAGGATCGAGTGCGCACCATTGTTGAGTCCAAATAAAACGAAACGACCGTCTAGCACATTTGTGGACATGCGGTGACTGTTTGGGGATAACGTGGACGAATATTCTCAAGGATGATGTAACAACCAAACTTATTCAATCGATCGATCAGTTTGAGTGGATGCACGATGATAACTAATAATTGTGGTCTGTCAATCATTATCTTCTTGAGAACTGGATAGCTCACTATTTGTTTGCAACCAGGTCAACACTGAATCAAATTCCTCATGATCACTGAAAAGCTTTACTAGTTGTCTGAAGTTCCCCTTCATGTTGTGTACATCAACTGGGCGTTGCGGTCGTGGATATAATAGTCTAGAGAAACCATCAGTAGCTCCAAGTTTGCGTCAAGGTCGCTTTGATCCATGATATTAATACTTACTTAGATAGGGTTCTGTCAGTTTGGTTTTATGAGTTATAAGCTAACTGCGATACAGCGCGACTATCCACCTCTTTGATGTAAGCCACCAGCGTCGTAAAGGACAGCTTTGTCCTGAAAGACTCGACTTCTACAGACAGTTTGCAGCTGTCCCCCTGTGATCAGTAATGTAAGTTGGCGGTTGGCGGTACTGGTAGAGCCGATGGATGCGTACCACTGACTATACCCGATCATTCGTAACTGCAGTCTAGTGATGTTCCGGAGATGTGGAGAAGTAACTGATTTTTTATGCTACTGCGATGAACCCACAATTACTCACATGGAAAATTCCTCAGTCATAAGCTTATGTGGCTGTGCAAAACATTTCTTTAGAGTACTGAGCTACACTATGTTTTGAGGAGTCACAACTGGCCACATTGTCCTTGAGTCCGAAGGCCCATACAACAATGCATTCGGGGTATCTGCAGGCCTACGCAACTCATACAGTTTGATCGCGTAAACACGTGCACAATGCACGACGGCTGGTATGGTGACGAGTTAACTGCGTTACTGTCTTGCAACCACCACGCTCGCCTGACCGATGTGCGCCGCCCTCAAAGCTGTAAAAGTACAGGACGCTAACCAACCCACTGGGTCAGGGAATGACAACAAATTGAATGGCAGAAAGGCGAAACCGAAGAGACTCCCATCGAAAGGCATTTGCGGGTTAGGAGAATGTCATCGGGTAGTAAAAATCGGTCTGGCTTGTTCGCACTGTTTGGAATGGTACCATACGAAATGTACAAATGTGTCCCAACAACAGTTACGGGAGCGAAATAGCTCCCAATATGCATTTTGGTTCTGTACTGCGTGTTCCACCATCCCTCTCGTTAAGTGCTTGCTTATCCTAGCTGAGAAATGCGACCGGTTAATCGCAGAAGCAGAGCAGAGGATCAACAAAAAGCTTACTTCAATGGAAGCGAGTATGGACCACAGAAGCGTAGCGGCTGTTAAACAGCGGAATGTTGAACAATCTGCTTCCCCTGAACCGCAATCAGCCATGTCTCCATCTCCGTTGTCTTCTCCAACTTTGGTAGAACGCCGGGCGAAAACAGACTGCACCTACGTGAATCAAACATCGCTCACAGCAACGAAAATTAGGAACCATTCAAAACGTCTGGTTAAGCAAATTCCACTAGACCTGACACCTAGTATTAACAAGGATGGAGCAGCCAAACACCAACCCTTGGTACCAGTAGCTCAAATATCTCTTGTCGAGACTAAGCCTCCCAGAACATCGGTTACCTATGCAGAGATTTCTGCAAGGGTCCACCGAGAGGCCGCCGTTGCGTCCGCTGCCATTGTAAACACCGTTAACGCAAATAGAGAGAAATAGAGCAAACAATCACCTGTCAACAAGTCAAGACAAATGAGTACCATAACTTGTAGATCGATTAAAAAGGAATCCAACAACAGTGCCCGGACTGTTGTATGCTCAAATGTCCCTGAATCTACCGCCATCACATTGCGGGATAAGTTGTCACACGACCAAGACCAATGGAACTCATTGTGTATGCAGATGAGTATCAAAGCCAAGCCCATACATTTGTTACGAATTACTCGTCATCCGAACTCGCCACACTATGGTGAACCCAGACTCATTCGAGTAACTCTAGAATCCTCCACCGACGTAGAAAACATTTTGCTCTCCGCAAGCGCGCTAAAACACGAATCCTGAGGGATACGTGTCTATCCTGATGTCCCTTGGAGCGCGCGACAACCAAAACGAAACACCGAAGAGTGGCACAACAAGCAAGGCCGCCTAAACACAATCTTCATACATGGCGTGCCAGAACATCCTTCTAACGATGTACAAGAGAACGGAAAGCACGATTTAGAACAGTGGCGGTTCATTCGCGAAACACTTTCTTTGGATAATGTTGTGGCACTATTGCTCACCAGGATACTTCTCTCATGGAATTATAGAGGATGCGGCCCTCGAATCCTAAAACTGCTGGTTCAGTCAGAGCAACAAGCAAAGGATGTTTTGGATCGATGGCGGAGAAA